CCGCCTGGTTGGGAAGACTGAAATGGCCTCCACTGTGCGGTCCGATTCTAGGCTGCTACTCTGTGACAGCACTTCCCTGGCATGGGCGGTGACACCACCGGTGCTGGACGCCTGGGTCCAGGCATCCCCACCATTCCTTCCTCCGCTTCCCCCATTTACCCGTGTGATGAATTTCTCAGGGGCCAGTGTGCAGAACGCTGGCTTTAGTGTAGCTTCAATCAACGGTGTTCAGATATCCCGTAGAGGCCCCGGCCGGTGTGGCTCAGTGGGTTGAACCTAGGAACCAGGGAGGTCACGGGCTCGATTCCCGGTCAGGGCACATGCCCGGGTTGCGGGCTCCATCCCCAGTGTGGGGCATGCAGGAGGCAGCCGATCCATGATTCCCTCTCATCATGGATGCTTCTATCTCTCCCTCTCCCTTCCTCTCTGACATCAATCAAAATATATACAAGATAAATATCCTGTAGAGAACACTGGTTTGATACATGTGGGTGTGGCCTGGGATGAGAAGTGGTCTCCATCATCGGGGTGTTTCCTTACTGGGGCAGACAGCAGCGGGTTCTGAGGGTCACCGGTGAGACTGGAGCGATGGGAGACGCCCTACCGCCGCCTCCGAGAGCTGGCGACTACGACGGCCTTGTCCAGTCCGGACAGTCCTTGTAGGCAAAGCTCTTCTCCCCAGGGGTCCAGACCAGGCCGGACCCGATGACCTTCCTCGTGGCCTCGGTGGGGAGGAGCCTAGCCCCGTCTCCCCTGACGCTGAGCAGGAAATCCCGCCCAACTGGGAATCATGAGAAATCAATGATAAGATATAGGCTCAGGCCCTGGCCGGTGTGGCTCAGTGGATAGAGAGCGTCAGCCTGCAAACTGAAAGGTCCCAGGTTCGATTCCGGTCAAGGGCATGTACCTTGGTTGCAGGCACATCCCCAGTAGGGGGTGTGCAGGAGGCAGCTGATCGATGTTTCTCTCTCATCGATGTTTCTGGCTCTCTATTCCTCTCCCTTCCTCTCTGTAAATAATCAATAAAATATATTTTTTAAAAAATAAAAAATATATATATATATTTTATTGATTTCAGAGGAAGGGAGAGGAAGAAGGAGAGAAACATCAATGATGAGAGAGAATCATGGATCAACTGCCTCCTGCACGCTCCCTACTGGGGATGGAGCCTGCAACCCGGGCATGTGCCCTGACTGGGAATCCAACCGTGACCTCCTGGTTCACAGACTGATGCTCAACCACTGAGCCACACCGGCCGGGCCACGTGGAGGTTTAGTCGGACCCCTGTATTCAGTCGATTTACCTTCAGTTGCCCACCTGGACCTGGGCCTGCACAGATGCCTGTGGGGGTTTGGTCTAAGCACCTGGGTTTGGTGCCGAGCTCCAGGGCACCAGCGCTCGTGGCCCGGCTGGCAGGGCTGCCGGGGTCACCGTGCCAGCTCAGTTCACACGCCGGCTCCTCTGTGCTAACAAAGCGCCATTATCCCCAGAGCTGGGGCCGCCTGCCAAGTGCCAGTGTGAAGGCCTCGTGGGCTCCGCAGCTGTGAATTGGCAGCAGGCGGTGCTGGCTACCGATGCCCTGCCTGCCGGGGGCACTTTCCCAGCGCCAGCCTGCCCCCCTGAAAGGGTCGGGGCTGGGGGAGAAAAGGGGGAAAGGAAGAGGGAGGAGGGAGGCAGACAGAGAGGGAGGCCGGGAGGGGGAGGGGGAGAGAGACTCCCCTTGGACCTGAACGGCCCCCTCCCCCGGGGTGGAAGGCGGGCTAGGGGTGATGCTCTCTCATCACTGTAGTCTGTCTGCGCACTGTCGTAAAGAGGAAGAACCACCCTCCAGTTAAAGCGAACCGAACCACAGGGAAGCAAAGGCCTTGACAACTGGCCAAAATTGGCCTAACATTCACAAATCTGGAGAGCTGCGTTCCCGGCTCCGGGTGGGGGATGCCCGCCCGCCATCTAGTGGGCCTCTACCGTCGCCCTGGCCCTGCCTGGCTGCCTGGCCCTGTGCTTCCTGCTCTCTCTGCGACCCTGAAGGCCGGGTTCTGTCTGGTTGGGCAG